AACTTTTAGATGGCAGAGAGAAACAATTTTTTTCAAACTGCTTCTTGTTCGGCGCACAGTAGAAAACTTTTATTTTTCTTTCTGCATTTTACTTATTGAAGGTTAATTTTACTAAACTTACTGTTAAATTTTGTGATGCACATTTATAAGTTGATATGATTGGAGGGCAAAAATTAGCCTCTAATTTCCTCAACTTTTCGCTATTACAAATCAAACATTGATTTCAATGAAAAATGTGGGTCCGAAACGAGCTGAGATATCGGACTAATCTAATGAATAGCAGCCTCTCTTATGTTAGAAAATCTCTATTAATTTGGGAATTCGGACTTGAAAGTTTTGGCACAGGGCTCGGCACGAGGTGGCTAGATGAAAATGCAAAAAACGAAGTCTCCCTTGACTTTTGGGTATTTTTATGAAGTCCCCTTTAACGTCGATCGACTAAAAAAAACGTCGCCAAATCGCCAATTTTGCGTGTGTCTTCGGTCACAAAAACGAAACCCCCTTTGCTTTTCGTCCCAAAAACGATATCCAGCTTGCTTGTAAGCCACCTCGTGCCGAGCCCTGTTCTGGCAGAAACTAGCAGCAGAAAAATGAGTATAAATAAATACGGCATAAGTAGATTATGATTAATCCTGTTCATTTTTGGCAAATCAACGGTCTTGGAAATGAGGATTGCTTAGTCAAATTCATAAAATTAGAAAAAAAATATTTTTTTGTGAACTGCAGTAAGTTTTTGAAGATGAAATGATTTGCGATACGAGGATGCAAAGGTTTCACAAAGTGAGAAGTCGACATGAACGGAAATTGGCGCAACCAAGTTTTTTTTACAGATAAATGAGGCGGTTCTCAGAAGAAGTAAAAAATATGGTGAGAATGCCAAAGCAGACTTGATGAGTCTTGGCAAGTTTTTTTAAAATGTCGCTTTGCATTTGCAAATGCGAGGGATTTTTTTGAAGGAAAATGTTGCTTTTTTCGAAGATCATTACCAGAACTCTTTTTTTAAATGTCGTGAATAAATCAATCAACCATTCAACGAAAAAGTTTCAATAAATAAAAGTTTCATATAACCTCAATTTCAAGAACATATTGAAACTCATGGTATTCTCTGAAAATACCATTTTTTGGAATAAAGACTCATTTTTGGTATGTTTGCCTCAATTCTCTTGGCAGACAACCAAACGAATTTATGAGTTAGCGAATTTAGCTAGTCATCGTGATTCATGAGATTTTCTTTTAAGAACCAATCTAAAGTCATGATATGTCAATTTGAGGTAGTGGTTGACTTCCACAGTTTTTCAAAGACTCAAACCTGGGTGACCTATGTTGGTTTTCTTTTTGAAAATTTTTTTTCAAACAAGCGTAAGAAGAGTAAACCAAAAAAAACATAGACAAGGGCTAGAAAAGCATACCTCTTATGATGTGCGAGAAGAGTTGTAGAAAATTTTTTCCATGACATCTTTTGGTCCTTCCCTAGAGAATATCATTTCGAGGAGTCCTCACAGATACCTCTTTCCAGTCGTACTCGGCTTCCATAAGAACGCTGATCCAGCCAGAGTCCATAGGTGGCTAATCAGCATCAAACAATTGCCGCATACCTCTGGCCCAGACATTCGCCGATGGGATACGATGTTCATAGGGCACTGCCGCTGCATGTGCCTCCCTCTGGCGGCTAAATGTCACTCGTTCTTGAGTGATTAGCCATTGAAATCAAGGGACTGGGAGTGTAGACTTTGGAAGTAACCGCGAGCTATCAGATAGCCCGTCGATTTTCCTCAAGCAATCATAATAAATAATCATGAAACTCTCCCTAAGCAAAATTGGACTCACAGTAGTTTTTCTACCAGTGAGAACTTAATTTTGAATTTGGTAAGGCACACAGTGGTCTTTTCACTAGTGAGAAATTGAAAAAAATGGGCTCACAGAAATGACATTCACAGTGGTCTTTCCACTAGTGAAGTCCAAAAAAGGAAAGTATTCTCACAGTGGTCTGACCGCTAGTGAGAATTACAATCAAAAGTGCCCTCATAGTGGTCTTTCCACTCGTGAGAGTTATGGATAAAATTAGGCTCACAGTGCGTTTTCCACTTGCATAACCTTATATGTACATATACACAATGCCGGCGGTGGCGATAGACACTGAGATTGTTACGAGTTGGTGAAGAAAATATGGGGTTCCCAACGAAATAAAGACGGATAAATATCGATTGGATGAAAAAAGAAAAAAAACAATTGTTCACGGCTCGCGGAATCACGGCTCCGGGAAATCACGGCTCGCGGAAATCACGGCTCGCGGAATCTCAATCTAGAGAGTTAAATCGATCTAGAGAGAGAGAGCGTCGAAAATTCACGGTTCGCTATTCACGGCGCGGGGATCACGGCTCGCGGAATTAAGGAAGAGAAAAAAAAAAGATAAAATATCGTTAGGTAGAAAATAAAATAGAAAATTCAATTCTCTATTGTGCCAAACAGGTTTGATAAGTGGTCTTTATTTCTTTCCAATCACGGCCTTACGTTTCGACGCCTTTCGTCTTCCTCAGAGGCCTGAATGGTTCTAAGTGTTATCCGTAAGTCCAGACCACCAAGCGTCTCCTCCCGCTCTGCTAGTTCTCGGCCTTCTCACAATCTCGCTACCAAATAAAATGTCAGTGTAGCAAAACATACCGGAAGACCACCGCTACTCGAGTAGTCTGCACCGGAAATAGGCGGTCGCGGCAGACGAGTGAATCGTACTGTGGATACCCAAAGACGATCTACAGTCACAAATCACATAATGATACGAAAGGGAGGAAGTCAGAAGTTATTGATAAACACTCGTTCTTATTATTCATCTCTGAATTCTTCGTAGTGATCCAGAATGCTTCTAGTGCTTTCCTAGCCGAGATCTCCGTTTCATACGCAAGAATTCTACACTTGATGTTAAAGTCTTCTCCACCGTGCCGTGCGTCCCTATGCCTGCCAAGCGGCGAGCTCAGATTTTTGCGCCTTTTATCGGCTAAATGTTCTTTTATGCGAATACCCAAAACTCTGCCCGTCTCTCCTATATATAACGCTTTGCAGTTAAGGCACTCAATTTGATAAACGACTCCCACTTTTGCACAATCCCCCACTCTACCGTGCGGGCATATTATGCATTGCTCTGTCGTACAATATTGGTCGTAGAGCCTATTTCGGACTAGCTGCTTTTTGATGTTGTTGTTGAGGATGTTGACTAGAACAACATCAATTTGTAGCTGAGCTCGAAAAATGCACTGTTGAAACGCCGCGGCAATCTTGTCAGAAAGGGAAGGCAGAGTGGGAGTTTACTGTTACTATGAATGCTGTTACCATTTCTAGATAGTCGAGGACACGGTAAGTTATGGTAACCATTACAGCAAGCAATCTGGGAGGCCAACTTTCGAGATTCGCAACGTTCTTGCTCTCCGGAACACATCCGCATAGCTGTATTGAACATGTTTTTGATGACTGCGCGTTTTACAGATGCAGGATGCGCGGACTTGACGTTTACCAAGATGTTCTTAGAGCTTTCCTTGCGGTACCAATTTACTCTAACAATGCCATCGGATAACTTCACCTGTGCGTTGAGATATGGCAGCCAACCGTCGCGTGGCATTTCGCGCGTGAATTTGATGTACTACGATTGCTGGTTCAGGATCTTAAAACACTCATCCATTTCGGATTGTGTTGATGTTATGACACAGCAATCGTCAATGTAACAGCAGTACATCAAAGGCGTAGGGACGCACGGCACGGTGGAAAAGACTTTAACATCAAGTGTAGAATTCTTGCGTATGAAACGGAGATCTCGGCTAGGAAAGCACTAGAAGCATTCTGGATCACTACGAAGAATCCAGAGATGAATAATAAGAACGAGTGTTTATCAATAACTTCTGACTTCCTCCCTTTCGTATCATTATGTGATCTGTGACTGTAGATCGTCTTTAAGTATCCACAGTACGATTCACTCGTCTGCCGCGACCGCCTATTTCCGGTGCAGACTACTCGAGTAGCGGTGGTCTTCCGGTATGTTTTGCTACACTGACATTTTATTTGGTAGCGAGATTGTGAGAAGGCCGAGAACTAGCAGAACGGGAGGAGACGCTTGGTGGTCTGGAGTTACGGATAACACTTAGAACCATTCAGGCCTCTGAGGAAGACGAAAGGCGTCGAAACGTACGGCCGTGGTTGGAAAGAAATAAAGACCACTTATCAAACCTGTTTGGCACAATAGAAAATTGAACTTACGACAAATGCCAAGGTTTCATGAAAACGGAACTTGGAAGTTACTAAAATAGAAAATATTATTTTATGCCAAGAATAGCAAGTAATACAAAACTCACACTCATCGCCTGACTCAAAAAATAAGCAGAAAATGAGAAAAAATGAATAAAAAAGAAGAAAAAACTACGTAGAAACATAGGAGATGAGGGCTGGTGCCGGCGGTGGGAGTTTGCAAAAGATTTGGCCAAAATCTATGCTGATTAAATTCAAAAATTGTTGATTCAGAAAAAAATATTCTCGAAAAATTGATTAAAAAATGTGAGTCATAAAAAGAAAACAACCCGGGACCTCCATGTCAAGTCCAGGAGGTGCACTCTCCTGACTTGAATCCTTCACCCTGATTGTCTTACTTTATATGAACATGACATCATGACTGGAATCTTTATTATATATTTATAAATAGAATGAGAGGGGAAGGGAAACCGCCGGTCACCCGGTTAGGCACAGCTCATTTGGAGTTGCTGGGGCACCGCCCAGTTGGCGTGGAGACTGTCGGACCATCTAATTAGTCTGCGTGTCGACACCTAAAAAGTGAAAGGGATTTTGTAAAGAGGGCAGATTTTAACGAAAAAAGCGTGTAAGAACAAAACGATATATCATTAACACGTTGACGCGCTCTTTACTCTGTAGCTGATAGTATTTTTGCTACTGTTGAGAAACACAATTTGACGCGTACAAGTGATTGATGAGGCTCTACGTACTCTTCATTTTTTGGTGGTGTACTACTGAATGGTTTTTCGCGTTCCTCTTCTTCCGCTCCTCATGATGACCAACAATAAAGTGACGACTGTTGATGAAGTCTATAACGCTGCTCCAGGTTGGCTACGCATGCCTTCGAACTGACTCTAAAGTGTTGCCTTCTTATATGTCACTGCAAACGTTGAAATCTCAGATTTGAGTGATGTTGCGCCGTTTTTACCTCGTGCTATACTCTACTACTGCTACCAATTTCCTCTTCGCGATGATGGTTCTCTTATAGTTTTTTCCGAAAAGGAGAAGGAGCGAGGGTGAGTGCTAGATTGAAAAAGTAACCGAAGATCTTCATGGCAGTCCTGCTTCTGCGCTCCACTAAAGTTTCTAGCAAAGGGCTTCGAATTCGGTTTACATAGAGCGCCAATTCCCTGCTCTTCTATAATTTCGTAATCAGTGTGCGTTAAAGATTACTGCGGAAAGAAGGTGCAAGAGCACTGTCTTAAGCGGGGGCGCGTTTATAAACCCTGCGTCTTTTGCGCTCTGTTGCTGTTAAAGCCGCGTTCGCGCTCAAAAATATTGCGCCTTTGTAGGAGCCTATACCTTCTCGTACCAACTTTTAGCTTCTCAAGTTTGCGAAAATACTGATAAACTCGATAAACCGAGTTTTTTTTTCTCAGAACAATGCTACTTTCATTCTCAGCATGCTCATTTACCCTAAACGCGTATAATACGCAACTTTTTCAGTTTTTTAAGCGTGCCGCTCAGCCGCCTCGTTGGGTTTCGGAAGACGAGACATATGCCACACGACACTCTCAAGCAATATGCAACACTATAAATAGTTCTTTGGTCGCGAAATCCTTCGGCGTGTCTGTGCTTTTCGATTTTAGAAGAAAATCCCCCGCGTCCCATACGCGTGGAATTAAGTACATTTCTCCCCTTTTCTGTACCAAAACTCAGTCCACAACACAAGAGGTTTGCAAGAAATGAATAAAACTGATATCAGCTGGTAACGAAATTAGCTCATGATACGCGCACCGCCTCGAACGTATGTGTGCGAACCTGACCGTGTAATATAGAAATGAGGATATCTATTTGGAACATAGGTACAGTGACCGCCAAAAAGTTCCGGACAAGCCTCCATCCCTTTTTCATCGCTCTTTTTCAGAGGGAAAACAAGGATGAAAAAAAAGTAATAATTACATGAGATGATAGAGCTCATCAAGATCTACAATCTGCACTTTGAGCTTTTTGAGAAACATGTGTTCTAAAAATGTTAAGAATCTTTTTCTAAAAAAAGTCCGAAAATGGCCGCGTCACAATGTCGCGGACAATAATTCTTCGAACGCAAAATTTCTCTTTTGAGTTTTATTTCAATGCGGAAACACAAGTTATTTGGGCGGGTAAGCATACTACCATACAGAGCTCGTTAAGAACTACACACTGGTTATGGTTGCTTCCCCAAAAAACGCAAGAGTTTTATTTTAGTTTTTTCAAAAAACAACTTCTAATTTCCTTTGTCATACCAAATTTCTTCACACGGAAACCTGTTCAAGATATCCCAACAAAGCCATCTGGATAAAATAGATGCTTTTTGCCGTCTTATATGCATCGGACGTGTGCTGGTGAGTTTCTTTGCTGAAAATGGCCCTTGGCAGTGCTTGCACATGACCCCACCTGCACCTCACCACTGACTTCCACCGCTTTGCAGGCTTGTAACTGGGCCTGCAGTCAATACTTGAGCCTGCATTTAGGCTCATTCGAAAGAACGAGAGTTCCTCTATACGATGTTATGCAAATAAGTTCAGTTTGAGCAAACCCAGAGATTTGGCGGATGGGGTGGTAATATCCAGCCTTAGAGGTGACAGGAGTGAAAGCTCTTATGAACACCAGAACAGTCCTAAAGCTTCGAAATGGATCTAATACAAGAAAATTGACAGTTTTGAACTTCCAGGGTGAAATTGGTAGCAAAAGGAGCTCTCTTCAACTTTAGCTGAAAAGTGCTTAGACTACAATTGAAGCTGTCCTCTACCACCCCATCCGCCAAATCTCTGGGTTTGCTCAAACTGAACTTATTTGCATACCATCGTATAGAGGAAGTCTCGTTCTTTCGAATGAGCCTAAATGCAGGCTCAAGTATTGACTGCAGGCCGAGTTACAAGCCTGCAAAGCGGTGGAAGTCAGTGGTGAGGTGCAGGTGGGGTCATGTGCAAGCACTGCCAAGGGCCATTTTCAGCCAAGGAACTCATCAGCACACGTCCGATGCATAGAAGACGGCAAAAAGCATCTATTTTATCCAGATGGCTTTGTTGGGATATCTTGAACAGGTTTCCGTGTGAAGAAATTTGGCTTGATAAAGAAAATTAGAAGTTGTTTTTTGAAAAAACTAAAATAAAACTCTTGCGTTTTTTGGGGAAGCAACCATAACCAGTGTGTAGTTCTTAACGAGCTCTTTATGGTAGTATGCTTACCCGTCCGGACTTGTGTTTCCGCTTCAAAATAGAACTCAAAAGAAAATTTTTGCGTTCGAAGAATTATTGTCCGCGACATTGTGACGCGGCCATTTTCGGACTTTTTTTAGAAAAAGATTCTTAAAATCTTCAGAACACATGTTTCTCAAAAAACTCAAAGTGCAGATTGTAGATCTTGAAGAGCTCTATCATCTCATGCAATTATTACATTTTTTCATCCTTGTTTTCCCTCTGAAAAAGAGCGACGAAAAAGGGAGGGAGGCTTGTCCGCAACTTTTTGGCGGTCACTGTACATACGGAAACACAGACAAACACGATGGAAGTGATTTATATAGTCGTCCTTCCCCCACTAGACACTCAGTGAACGAATTTGAAGTTGAGCAAGAGCAAACGGCTAGCGTCAGAGCGCGGCAGACGCTGCCCCCGGTCCAAGTGTGCGCATATGCTATTTTTCCATTTCTCTTCGTGTTTTTGTTGTTACTCTTATTGCGGCAATGTATCACATCAGATTCGAGATTTTGTTGCCGGTGATCGTTGTTTCAAGAACAAGCAAGCAAGCACCCAAGTACTTACGCACGTGAAGAATTTTTGATGGGATGTTGCTTATCGCCCTTTCCGGCAAAAAACACATGCACAGGCGTTGCTTTTATGAATTGTGAATCAATTTCTCAGTTGAGTGTGCTCTCCAAACTTTTTTCTAGACCTGATTCCTTTCAAGAAATATAGGTGAGTTTTTCTGGAAAAAGCATCCGACATATTTGTTCTTTACGGCAACATCCGTGCCATACGTATATCCTTAATTGCACGTAAGTACTTGGTTGCTTGTTCAGTGCTTCCCTTCTCTGTGAGAAAGTGATTTCCTAGCCCCTAGCCTTCACTGCGTCGTATTTCTAGCTTACCTGGAAAAAATATAAGGCAAACGATAATAACAGCATGAAACAACGATCACCGGCAGCAAAATCTTGAATCTGATATGATACATTGCCGCAATAAGAGTAACAACAAGGAAACACGAAGAAAAATGGAAAAATAGCATATGCGCACACTTTGATCGGGGCGGCCTCTGCCGGGCTCTGACGCTAGCCGTTTGCTCCTGCTCAAATCCAAATTCGTCCACTGAGTTTCTAGTGGGGGGAGGACGACTATACATGTGATTTGCCACAAACCGTCAACGACGGACCCTTTCCCCCTCTCTAATCAAGAAAGTTACCTTCCTCCATTGCCAAAGCACGAAGTGAATATTCATGACCATTTTAGCTCTTCACTCGAAGTTTGCAAAAAAATGCATTGGAGTTGTCACTTGTAGTCAGCCAAATCAACTACCCTTGCCCATTGAAACACTGTTCCCTCTGCTTGCAAAAACTGATGAAATCGATAGAGGCGAACGAAATTTCTGGGAATGATTATTGTATTTGTTTAACTCATTTATACCCTCAGTTCGCTGCAAGATTAGTTATCACCCATCTCTTCTCGCGAACACCCAAAATCCTAAGCAGCAAACACTTACCCCCCACAGGTCCGCGGTTTGCATCACTGCATCCTGCCGACTTTCAAACCCAAACGTGCTTTACTAACTGCTCAACTGTGGAAAATTGCTTCATCAACTAACGATAAACTTTCGTATTCCCAGATACAATTGGTTCAAACATACGCATGTGTAAGTTTTTGCTTAATTGGCCCACGCAAAAATAAGTTAAAACACACATGACACAAACATTTGCAATGTTTTTTCTTATATCTAAAGCTGAATGTCTGATTGTGTGTGTGTTTGTCTGTATGTTAGTACGTTTGTACGTTTGTATGCCTTTTTCAGTGGCGTACCCATGATTTCGGCTCGGGGGGGGGGGGGGGGGGGGGCAAACATTTTTTTCAAATAAAGGCGCGTGGCGTCAGCCTCAGCCACGCACTCTGAAAATTTTTTAGGGGGGCTTCTCAAAATTTTTGCGGGTCCCCAACCCCTAAAATCTGGAAAAAGGGGGCGTGGCGTCAGCCACGTCCCCGGAATATTTTTTTATAAGCTACTTTGAATTTACAACAATAAACAAGTCGCTTGCACATTTTTGTAACTCATGTAAGTAACTTTCAAAAATTTCGCGACCCATTCTCGGGGGGGGGGGGGCGCTCGGTACGCCACTGACCTGGTTGTATATATGTTCCGAATGCATTTACTATTTTCTGAACCGATCCGGATCATATTTTGCACACCTACATTTTGGTATGGGGCAGGTGTACTTTAGGCTACCTTTTTTGCTATCAGTCGATATCGATTTTATCGATTTTTGCAGGGCGGAGCCAAATTTGCCAGACTTAATGATATATGCACTATCGAGTAGTTGACCCGCGCGGACTGCTGCGGACCACGCGCGACGCGGCTTAAATATTGTAAGAGCACTACTCAAACAAAGACAATTTGTACTAACATGGAAAGGATACTCGATCACCGTGGCTCTGAAATGTGATGTATACTGTAAGATGCAGCTCGAAACGCTGATTCCAAATCTGTGCTCGATATCTGCGAAACGATCTTCTGAAGGTATGAACTTTTTTCGTAGAAAATTTATGTACTTATGTGCAGTTAAAATCACCAGATTTGTTCTAATTTACCATTTGAAGCTATGGAAGAGAATCTTAGAAGGAGTACTGTTGTATCATACCCATCTAAATCAAATTCAGCATTTGAAAAGGAAAGAAAATTTTTATTGATGATTTTGACCCTCCGTAGACGCAGTTCGTTCATAGAAAAATATTCATAACTCCATCCAGATTATCGTTTCACATATATGGAAGGCAGTACTCGAACTAGCATCAAAAAGAGCATTTTTTTATATACAAATCATTATGAATGGCCGCGGTGACCAAGCATCCTTCCCTTGTAAGTCAAGCGTTAGCTTTAGACGCGTGCTCTGCAGTGATGTGCAGTCCCGGTCAACGACTCGACAATATATGTAAAGAGAAAAATCAGGTTTGACACTCAAGCATTCAAACTTGACCATGACTAACCTTCGATAGTATCGATTTATTGAGTCTCTTGTAGAATTCAAAAATGAATTTTATCCTACTTTTGAATTAAGTTACATGGTTTCATCGATTGCTTCCTCAAAAGCACTTCTTGTTGGCAAGCAAAAGCTGTAAATTTTAAGCTTAAACGCCCTAAGAAAAAGCCTTCGTTGCAAAATATTCATAACTCCATCCAGATTATCGTTTCACATATATGGAAGGCAGTACTCGAACTAGCATCAAAAAGAGCATTTTTTTATATACAAATCATTATGAATGGCCGCGGTGACCAAGCATCCTTCCCTTGTAAGTCAAGCGTTAGCTTTAGACGCGTGCTCTGCAGTGATGTGCAGTCCCGGTCAACGACTCGACAATATATGTAAAGAGAAAAATCAGGTTTGACACTCAAGCATTCAAACTTGACCATGACTAACCTTCGATAGTATCGATTTATTGAGTCTCTTGTAGAATTCAAAAATGATTTTTATCCTACTTTTGAATTAAGTTACATGGTTTCATCGATTGCTTCCTCAAAAGCACTTCTTGTTGGCAAGCAAAAGCTGTAAATTTTAAGCTTAGACGCCCTAAGAAAAAGCCTTCGTTGCAATTCTTATCTTATAAGTATTCCACATTTCCATAATACAGTGAGCACATAGAATGGGACTTTTACAAATTACTCTTAACCTATATTGCAGCAAAAATGCCATAACGGATAAAGAGCTGGCAAAAGTGCTTCATCCAAGGTATCTTCCTTTATCATACATGCACTGCGGTGCAACACATCATTTATCAAAATTGAACGTATAGCCAAGAGTTTTCTAAAGTCAAGAAGGAAATGGAGAAGTACTTTGCCGTACGAGATACTCCCTTCTGGAGAGATGCGCCACTACATTACATGCTGGAAGCAAACATGGATCTTGACGGCGCTACTGCAGCTTGGATGGCCGAACCGATTTTCACCAAAACCAGTTTCATAGGGTGAGGTCAACTAGGCTTGCGCAGCTGAATCAGCCTTTGCAGAAAAGACGTTAAAAATAAGCAGCAGGATTTTCATGGAACTATTGTCAAACAAATTTATGAACCTTCCGGATATCCGGTCGAGGTAAGCTGACTTCTATCGCATTTAAAAGAGTTTTAAGCCGTTCTTAAACGTAAATTTGAATGAGTCAATCTACTCAGGTTCCGTGCTATTCCAATGTTGCAGGTCAACGTGGTCTAACAAATGTTTTTTATAGGCTTCGTAAAAGGCTTGCTTTTTGTCAACTTGGGAACTACATCATGAACTGAAGCTTTTAGGCGATTTACTGCGAAGCCAAACCAATGGATTCTGGAAAACATAGACCCATTTCTTGCTGAAGCACTCGATGATATGATAGGAATGGAGAGTAAGTTCGTACACTCAATTCCTACTTTTCGGTACCCTTCCGTTAAACGGACCCACTTTTTCAAGGAAGGATGCTTCTTTCCTTTTACCATATTCGGTCCCAACTTCAAAGGATCAATCTCCTGCCACGTGCGAAAAAAATCGCTTACCATCTACATGTTTAACAGGTTCTACCAAGAGTTTATTCTGCCCTACCTAGCAACGCAGGTACAGTAGGTATCCCAATCATTGGTGAATCCTATTTGATCAAATAATTCAAAAAATGAACGCTGTGATAATACTACTAGTGCGACGCTCGCAGAAGCTCGCACTGGCCATTATGGAAAGGTGAAAGCTTACCTAGAACTGCATTATTCCTTAGTCCAGTGAGTAATCTATTAGGGTGTCCCATAATTTTTTTAACATTTTTACCCTAAACATCAGCACTTCTCGATAACTGGGGCATCTTCAATGCTTACAAATACACGGTTGTACTTCTCTATATATGAACTATATGATCACATGCATTGGAGGAGCTTAGGATGTCTAGTGGCGGAGTTTGACATTTCACCCCATTCATTTCTTTCTTTATTTCTAGCTATGGAAAAAATGCGGATAGTACAGTTGAATGTGCGATGTGTCAATCATACGCTAGGAAAATGAGAAATTCTAAGTTTTTTTGGGGCTGAGATGATTTTTGATAGTAAAGTTCATTTTTGACTGCTATCAGATTTCAGTTCAAAACTTCATGTAGAATACGATTTGTGCAGACTGTTGACAGCCGTCTTGTAGAGCTTGTTTTGCGCAGTCGAATGGTTATTCATGCCACATCAATTAAGGAAGGATACAAAAAAACGACGGCTGTAATAAAAACGGTAAATAATTGTGGGACACCCTAATATCAGGTTGTCCCATAAGTTCCGTCCGTTTTGAATTTCGACCGCAACAAGTCATACATATCGCATTCTCTAGATAGGTTGCAAGAGCATTTGATAGAGAAGGCAAGCTCTACAAGATGGCTAGCTTGCTTTTGCACCAGCTCCGATCCATCTCGAGTAAAAAGCCAGGAACTGAAAAGATTCAACTGCCCAAAAAATCGAGAAGAAATCACAACTCCATCTATAAAAATCCTACAAAAATTCTAATTTGCTCGCTAAACATTATCCATCTAAGACATTCATATACACCGTTACTGTATTTTTTCCTCACTTAAAAATTAAAAAAAAAACGAAAATTTTCGTGCTTTTGCCAAAATGATGCTGTGCTGTCCCTACATAGATAGTTGTATACTACTAGACTGTAGAAGTACAAATGCAAATTTTCAGCTCTCCATAAGCTTTGGTTCTCGAGAATTGTCGAATGTAGTTTGCCTTGGTTGAGTGCTTTGCTCCAAAATCCATATTTCTCGAAAGCTAATGCCTATAGAGAGCTTAAAATTTACATTTCTTTTTCCATAGGCTAGTAGTATACAACTATCCATGTATGGATAGCACTGCATCACTTTGGTTCTTGATTTCTGATCGAGGAAAATATACGACAACGGCGTATATAAGGGTCTTTGCCATCTTATAGAGCTTTCTTTGCTCTATGGAAACGTACCTTGCACACTATTCGGAAATAAGAAGTGTAGGCCTTATTGCGGTCGAAATGCAAAAGGACGGAACTTATGGGACAACCTGATATATACAGGGTGTTTGGAAAGTGAGTGGTCGAAAGTACTTCCAATTCAAATTTTGCGCTTCTTGTTTTATTGCCTTAACAGGCCTAGATACCATTATTTCAGTGAAACCAGGTTTCCTTGTGTTAGCAGTTTCATTAGATTGAAACACGTCGATATAGCTCTGCAGACCACTTTCCTTGAAACGCTGTTAACAAAGAAAACATAATTCACACAAAACTTGGTATACCTTTTAAAAGTTCTTCTTTAAGATTTCTTACATGTGCTTTTATTTTCGTAAAAGTAAGTTCGTTTTGAAGTACCATGCCTTGAAATAAAAGAGAGGCAGGTTCAGGATTTTTTCGTCAACAAATCCAGCACATCGATATAGCTTTCCAGACCACTTTCCTTGAAACTTATACTTTATATTCAAAACCTTCACAAGCGTGCAATATTTTTGAAAATCAATACAACGAAGACCAGAGAGCTGCGCTACAAATACATGTTGAAGTAAGACTTCCAAAACTTTTTAAACCGAAAAAATTTCAACGCAAATTTGGCCGCGATTGCCGCTCTAATTCAGCACATGAAAAAATTTTTGTTCGCAAGCCGCTGAGGAGCTTTTGTTAAAGAAAGTGTAAACTTAGGACTACTTATAGTAAAAAAAAGGGAAAGCTGTCTCCGTTTTGCGGCGTTGAAAAAAGTAGAACAATTCAGATAATGCACTCTTTCGCCTTTTCAGAGAAGTTGAAAAATCTGTTTGCTTCCAAATTTTTTGAGGTATTTTGAGGCAAAAAATATTCTTCTTTGCTGACTCAGTGGTTTTAGGCTTGGCGAACACATATAGCAAAAAAAATGAGTCAGGATTTGCAATTGAAACTTGAGACCACAAACTTTTCAAATACCGTGTATAAATAAAACTCAAACTCTGTAAACTTATTGATTGGCATGTATGTGGCTTATGGACTATTTTGTGCGCGGATCAATGAGGCCAATTTGCTTCCCTATAAATGAGGTGCAAAAGATACTCTTCGCGGCGATCCGTTGGGCCCTTTAATCGATTTATTAATGTGTTTACTTACATATGAGGGGTAACTTGGTCAACCACTGCTGGCATACCCGGCTCCGCCCGACCTCGTCAATACACTCTATAAAGGCCGCATCCCTATTCCTGTACAACCTTTCCCTGTGCCCATTTTCACATGTTAATTCCCTATTTCCGTATAAAAGCTGGAAAATTTTAAAAACTAATGTTATATTCGTGATCAGCATACTCACTTACCCCCCCCCCTCTTCGTACCAACTCCCAGCTCCGTATGTCAAACTCTACAAAAAAATCGATAAAACTGACATCAATGGATAAAAAAAAGTAGCCTACGATCCGCTCCAAAGTGTATGTGAACAAAGTTTGGTCCGGGTCGGTTTAGAAATAAAATTTTGTATTAAAAAACTTACATACAGACAGACACACAGATATACAAACAGATATTCAGCTATCTTATACAGGGTGTCCCAAAAAATGTATCGAACGTTTAATCGTTAATATCTCTCTTCTAAAGAAGTCTTTTCCCTTGCTTCAGGTACCAGCCTGTAGAGCTGGCTTCAACTTAGATTTGCATTATACAACGAATCACTCATCTCTCTTCATTACTGTAGGATTACGGTAGAAACTTCAAAAAGGGTTTTAAGCAATGAAAGGCCATATTTTGCCTCAGAAAAGAAACAAAACAATCTGAAAACTTTTACACTAGGCTAATTAGAGTTGCTGATTATATCTGTAAAGTTCCCAACTTGTTATGATGCTTCATTGAAGAGTTATGCCAGGTAAGAGGTAGCGGCCATTTTTCAATGTTCTTAAAAAGTGCGATTAAACCGTTTAGAAAGCTTCGTAATCTTGTGAATAGTTGAGTATTGAACTTAGCATCCATAAAAACCCTGTTACACAAGTTTTCATATTTTTTTGAAAAATTTTGAGACGGCAGCTTTTTCCACATTGACACCATATGTTTCAAGTTTCTACCGTAATCCTACAGTAACGAAGAAAGATGGGTGATCCATTTTATAATGCAAATCTAAGTTGAAGCCAGCTCTACAAAACGGTACCTGAAGCAAGGCAAAAGACTTCTTGGGAAGAGAGATATTAACGATCAAACGTTCGATACATTTTTTGGGACACCCTGTATATAAAGCTGAAAGTCTGTTTGTCTCTCTGTTTACGTGTCTGTCTGTTTCTCTGTGTGCCCGTGTATGTTCCGAATAGAAATCCAGTTCTGAACTGATCCGGACCAAAGTTGGCACACATACTTCGGGGCGGGGCGGGCATCATAGGTTCATCATCGGTCAATATCGATTTTTATCGTTTTTTTTTGCAAAATTTGAGCTAGGAGCTTGGAGTTGGTACAGGGGGATGAGTGAGCTTGCTGATTACGAATATAAATTAAGTTTTTGGAATTATCGACTACTTTTGTCGATTTTGTTGATTTTTTGCAAAGTTTGACCTATGGGGCCGGAATTTTGTTCAGGAGGCAAGTGAGCATGCCAATTACGAATACAATAATAGAGTTTAAAATTATCCATTACTTTTATCGGTTTTGTCGATTTTTTGCAAAGTTGATCTCGCCGGGAGTCACAAGGGGTAAGTAGGGAGGCATGCTGTACGAAAACAAAACGGCGATAGGGAACTGGCAAGTAGAAGTGGGCACAAGGGAAGGTTTGTGTGGGAATAGGGATAGTACTTTAACATAGTGTTTTGACAGGGCCGGGCGGAGCCGAGTATACCTGCTAATGTATATCAGGTTGATGCATAATTCCTGCACCAAAATAGGTACATACCGCAATAACTCGGAATAATCCTATATCCCATGTAGGATTCGATACATTATTAGATAGCGCAAACCTAGCTCTACAAGAAAGTGCTCAAATATCTACACCAGCTTTGATGCATGCGAGGTTTTGAGCCAAAAACTGAAAAAAAACCATGCGTCCGAAAACCTTAAGAAAGATCGTTAAAAAATTGTAACTCCGTTGAAAAAGCTCCTACAAAAATTCTTTCTTGCTCACG